ATAGTTCCTGCCCCAATTCTAGAATCAGCCATTTTTCCTTAGAACCTTGTTCCCTTTATTGGAGGGTTGAGTGAACACAAATGTTCTAGGTGCTAATGTGTTCATTGCTACTGGTACATCTAAACTCTCAGGTGACAGAGAACAATAACACACATGGGTATACTAACCCAAATATATGCAGATGCTTGTAAATAATTCTACATGTAACTGCCTGTGTCTACATTAAACTAATGACCATAGCATGTCATTGCCATCTCTAATCCATTACCAAAAACATTATTTTTAATAGCAAAATAAATAAACAATAAAAAAGAACCATCCTCCAGAGGACATTAAATACATTCTGAAAGATTCCTCCAGTGGAACACTAATCAATTTTAATGGTTTAATCCTGTATGTTCTGATGTTAAAAATGACGTGTTAGGGGACACAATACATGTGTAGATAGAAGCCTACAATTTCTGGAAGAAATACAGCAAAAGGTTGACAGCAGATAATTCTGAGGAGTGGAAATTAGGATTGAAGCAGGCATGGGGGGTACTGATATTCTCAGTTACAACAATGGCTTATGGCCCTCCGAATGGTCACGGCACATTAACTGCTAAAAGATGCTCCTTTAGGAAACTGATAATAAAGACTGAGAAACAATGCATTTGATGGATAAGGTGTACCTTTCACTTTCCACATGTATTTGTTTTCTATCAGCATGTCTTTATTTTATAATTTAATTTTTTAAAGCAGAAGTAAGATTCACCTCCTAAGACAAGAGTTAGCAAATGGTGGAGTTCTTACTATTGGTTGCAGCTCCTCAGGCCAGGCTGAGGGTCTTTCTTGTGCAGAGCTGCCCAGCTGCTGTCTCTTTAGCAGCGGCCATGGACTTTGGGGGCAAACTGTAATTTACTAGGTACCAGGTGATTCAGAAATCACTGGCCCCTGGACCACTCTCTGAAAACCACTGGTATACAGCCAAGTGCACACCTGAAACCAAAACCATTTTATTCCTGTGATTTCTTCAGTGAGTTTTAAGTCTAAAACATAAACCCATTCTCCAGGAGGGTGTTCAGAGAGAAGATTCTTCCTTGCTATTACCTACAGAGCTGGGGCTGTAGTTCAGTGGTAGAGCACTTGACTAACCTGCATGAGGGGCTCTGAGTTCAATCCCCAGCACCATATACACACACACGCACACACACACACACACACACACACACAAAATTTGTATTAAGCAGCAATTGCTTTCTTCAAAACTTCATCAACATGCTCCAAGTAACATGGCACTACTCTGCTGACCAGTCTAGTGGGCACCTGTCATTTGTGTCAGACCAGGCTGCATCCTCCCTTCAGGGTGGCTTTGGGTCAATGTGGACATTGCCAATGAGGATGTTCCTTGGTCAAATGACTTGAATCCATGACCCCAAATACGTCAATCAGACACTCTTCCTGGAATTGACATGCCTGCCACCATCTATAGACAAGGACCTCCTCACCAGCAGGGACAAGGTCTTATTCATCTCTTTATCTCTGATGCCTAGCATAGTGCCTGGTGATGAATATTCAGTGCATGTGAGCTGAATGAATTACACAGAAAATCATGCACCTTAAACAAATGCTGAACTAAGTGTATCATTTTCCAACAGAATTCTGCAGCGAGAGAAAATTGTATGATGTTTTGTAAGGGAAATGTCCACTTTAGCAGCTAGGAAATATGCATCGGAAATAGTATCCAAAGTTGCCATGTCTTCGTGCATTAAAGATGTCAATCAGTCCAATAAAATAAAGCCCAAAAAAAGACAAAAGGAGAATTACCTCATTACCTCAACATCTGCTTGAACATAAGCTATCACACACTGGTTATTTTTTTTTAAAGGGACATAATATAACTTTCTAGAAAGACATAATATAGCTAATTACACCATTCACTAGAAGGGAACATACAATGTTTTGAAGTCATTCAGAAGTGGGTGTGATTTATAAGACATAGAGCTTAGGGAATGGTAAGTATAAATTAGAGATTGTTCATATTATGACAGACTCCGTCATTACATTTCACAACTTTTGTCAAAAGCAACCTTATTCACCACACCACTGAAGGCTTCCTATTAGGGAAGGCTGCTGTCAGCTCTGCAGTACAGGAGCAGACAGGAGCCTTCTTTCTGAACCCCTCCTGAGGAATGGGTTAAAACTCACTTAAGTAAGGTACCACCTGAAGAAACCCAAATGACCAACGAACATGTAAAAATTTCAAACCTCTCTAATAACCAGGGCAAGACAAATTTTTGCCTATTAGAGTGGTAAAAATTTGTCAAGCTGTCAAATTAATAAAGATTACTCTTAGCCAGTGTTAACCAGTACTTGATGATATGGGTACTCTAGGGGGATGTGGACTGATACAGCCATGGGGGGGGAGGGTAGCATTTGCACTGTCTAGCCAAATTTTATTATATGCATGCCCTCTAATCCAACAATTTCATTTTTAAGAATCTATCCCAGAAAACAAATGGTAATTGTACAACTCTTTGCATAATTATTTGGTCAATGACCATGTACTCAACAGAAAACTTAGCGGGTGGAAGGTTTATCTGGTTTACTCTCTCCAATGCCAGAGCCTAGCACATGGGTCTCACGTGCAGTAAGTACCCGATATTTGTTAAAGGAATGAATACTTACTTTTAGTCAGCACTAAAAAAGGAAAAATAAAGCATCTAATCAATAATGGTTCCTTTGTTCATATTAGAGAGATAATTATGACGCACATGTTAACAGGTAGTACCCACCGTCAGCTTACAAAATTGTCATAGTACAGGTGAAGACCCAAAGATTAAGCTGCTTTGTTCTCACCTCAAATCCCTAGCTCCTCCGTTAGTTCCACGGTCAAGCAGCAATTAAATACTCTTGAAGTAAGTCAACTGTTAATATCCTATGAGCCAATGACAAATGCACACCCTAGTTTTGATATACAAAAATCACATTGAAAAAATTCTAACACCTGTGTAAGCAGATTCAATATCCTTGAAAGAGTGTACTTTTAAGAAACAAAAATTTCGAAGTCCAGCAGTTCTATTACCTTTGATATGCCTTAGTCAAGGGCATATAGCCTTTAAAAATACCAGTGTCTGCCAATATTGCGTACACATCTATGTAAATGGAAAAATGAAACCTGTTGAAACTGTTCCAGAAATGGGGGTGAAGGATAAAGGAAAATGATGGAGGGGGTGAATTCAACTACGATATATTGTAAGAACTTTTGTAAATGTCACAATATACCCCCAACACAATAACTTAAAAACTAAATAAAATAAAAATACCAGTGTTCTGGATTTGTTTTCCCATATGACCCAACAGAGGAAAGACCCAGGAACTTAGAAATCCTTCCTTTTTTCTCATTCCTCAGTCCAACTACAGAGAATGTGTTCCAAAACCAAATAAAACAATTTGCAAGTAATCTACATTGTTACTCTGCCCTTGAAATCATATACAGAATAAAAGTTATATATTTTTATTATCATTTGAAAACTAACCACACGTCAAAAGATGTGATATTGACCAAAATTACTATTAATGAACGTTCTATAACTCTAGAACATGTTCAAGAATACTTTATGGGGTAAGAGGAAGATGTTATTAAGAAATAAAATACTAACAGAATCTAGCTCACTAAAACACTTGAGAGAATCCAGATAAAGTCATTCTGCTAGCCCATCCCCTCCCCACTAGAGTCACCAGTGCCTGACTTTAAAACTTCAGGCTAATCTAGGATGGAAGATGAAGGTGCTGGGAAGAAGAAAGAGATTAGCAATTATCTAGAACTTTCTAGATGACAGATAACAGAGGAGTTGTGTTGTGTTCATGTCAGTAAGGTTAAGTAACTTCCCCTAAGGTCACACAGTACACAATCCTGTTGAGATTTTTTTTGGCCAGGAATGTGGACTCCAAAGGGATGGGAGGATTCAAGTAGCAGCAAGTCACAGTACTGGCCAGGACCTCATTAAGTCACCTGGCTTACATTTGTCTATGGTCAGATAAGACTTTTAAACCATAAGATCCAAAGAAGGGAAGAGACTCCTCCAAGTTCACAGAGTGGGTGAGCTGAGTCACTCAGAAGGGAGAGAACTACCCGGTTTAGACACAACTCTGAGCCCGTTCAACCCATGGTCATGTCAGCAAGTCGCTTACAAAAGCGCATGTCCCCACACACTTTTACTTCCTAAATTTGCATGGTTCTGTTCTTCTTTGACCCATATTCTCAAACCACCCTTTGGTACGGGCAATAATAATTTAAGAATGTTGGGTTAACAGGAGCTGTCTGATCTGGCTTTGTTCAGTGTGGTAAGTGATGAAAATAATCGGTTTAAAACAGGTCTTTATTGAGGGATAATCCCCAGTTCCCAAGCTGTGAAGAAATGCAGGAACAGGGCCTGGCTCCCTCAGAAAGCCTCACACAGACAGGGTATTGACTTGCCGACTAATAAATTGCTAAAAATGGGAAGTGGTTTAAAACACACACACACACACACATCGTGATCAGAAAAATCCCAGCCTGGGAAGGAAAGAGGAACAAGCCCCAAACCCCAGTGCAAGGCTGGGAGGGCTGTGGAGCAGAGCTGCAGGCCCGGGAGCGCGCAAACTGTGCAAGGGTGGGGCCACGGCTAGGAGCGCGGTCAGCTGGGCCGCCCCGAGCCGCGCGCGATCCTGCCCCACCTGCTTCTGCCGCGTAGAACCGGGTGCCGGGCCCCCCTGGTCCGCGCCGATCGTTGGCCTGTCCCTTCCCCAGGGCTGCGATCGCCGGCCCAGGCGGGCAGCGCTTCTCCCGCTGCCAGGCCCGACTCTCCCGGACCCTCGCACCTCATCCCCGGCTCTGGGCTCTCCAAGGCGCGCAGGGCGCGCGCGGAGGGCGCTGCTCCAAGGTGACGGAGCTGCGGGGTGACCGCGTCGGCCGCAACGCCCCCCGCCCTGCTTCACCTGCCGCAGCCCGGGCCGCGGCTCCCACACCTGGCGCCTACCTTGCTCCTTCAGGCTGGTGATGAGCTGCAGCTGCTTCTCCTCGTCTGAGCTGTTCATTTTGGCGGGTGGGGCTGGGAATAAAAGGAAAGGAGGGAGCAGCGAGGGGGACCCAGGGGAGGGGAAGAAAAAGCAAGATGCCGGTGGCGTGCGGCGACACTACCCGGAAGTTGGATTCGCTCCCGCTCCTCCTCCTCCTGGCTTGGAGCGCGCGAGTGAGATCATCCCCACGCACCTTCTCGCCCGCCGCGGCCGCTGCACCTGAGGCGGGCCAGGCGGGCCGGGCGGGCCGGGCCGGGCCGGGCTGGGAGTGGGGCGGGGACAGCGGGAGGTGGCGGCCACTGCGCCCTGGATCCTCCCCCCAAGGCCAGCAAGCGCAGGCGAGAGGACGTGCGCCCCTGCGGGTGGCCGCTCCCGCACCCGGTTCTCCGCCACCGCCACCACCCCAGACCCGAGGCCGCGCCTGAGGGAACCCCACTTTGCAGCTGCGGGAGAGCCCCTCCTCCAAAGAACCGCCCACACGAAACAACCAGGTTCCTTCCCTGGTTCCCACGCAGGGTCCCTGGGGGTGCGGTGCTGGACGACCTAGGTACCCTCGAGATCCTACACTGTGCACCTTTCCAAGCACAGCAAGGAGCGAAACAGGCCAATCCGCCTTGCAGGTGCACGTTGCAGGCTGGTCAGCGAGATTGAGTACCCACCGCACAGTGCGGGAGGGAGGGCGTGGCAGTTCCAGCACAGTCCTCTTCTGTGCACCTCTGTCCACGCCAGGTTGGCGAGGCAATCAGAAGGCCTGGAGGCCGGTGTGGATCATCTGGTTCCCGTGGAGGACCTTCACTCTAGAGAGGCTGTCACTGCAGTTTGGGTGCCCAAGATCACACAGCTGTGTGGTGTTATGAAACGAAGCCCAGCACTTGTGCCTCTTCACTACCCTCTGCCATTTAAACCCAGCTATGGGGTGGACCCTAACCAGGAGAGAGAGCAACAGGCCTGCCTGGTTCAAAGGCCGCTGTTCCCTAACCCTGTCTGCTGGTCGAAGTCTTCTGCACTGTTTGAATTTCATCTAAAGAATGAGAATGATAACAACACCGAATGTTCAGGAAGAGCTGGAAGGATTGAACAGGGAGAGGAAGATGATGAAAACACTAAATCCAGAATTAAGAAGCTCTTTATTTATTTTAAGATTATGGGTCTGAGAAAAGAGTTACGGTCGCTAATTATAACCTGAGACAGGCACAGTTCTTTTACACCAATCATTAAGCATCCAAGATAAATCTAAACCGAGTTAGACTGACTACACAGCTTGGATTTTCTCACTACCTCTAAACTCGACTACACAGCTTGGATTTTCTCACTACCTCTAAGCTCTTAGGTAGGACACCACACACACACACACACACACACACACACACACAGAGTGCTTCCCATTAATGGGAAGGAAGGCTGGCATTTTGGTAAACTCTGACCAGTATCTTTCTGGTATTCATTACTAAATATTAGCTCAAAATAAATTTTGAAAAAATGGAAGCTCTGCTTTCTCCTTTTCTAAAATGGTAACATAGTATTTCAGTATGCATAATTTGGTCTAAAGAGGCAATAGTATTTTTAAATAGAGTGAATTAAAAGCTTGAAACGTTAAAAAACATGAGGTTTTTGTTATTCAGTCCTTTCCTTAGCGTTTACAAAATAGCTCAAATACCTGCAGATACTACTGTTAAGATCCCAGGAGATAACCAGCAGGACTTTGCCCTGCTGATTGCCTTTAGTCCTCAGAGTTGAAAGAAGGGCGGGCAATGTGAGAAAATTCATACTCCACGATGTGAAATATGAATACGTGGAAAGAGAAATAATTGGTCTGCAGAAAAAATAAATCCAAGAGATCTGAGTGACAAGCCATGGCTATCTAACTTTTCTAGGGCAGCTAGGAAACCTATTAAACCTGGGAGTCATCCTGACTGCTGGGTAAAGTGGAGGAACCAGCCCCCTCCAAACCCAGATAACCAGAAGTACATCCTCACAAGCTACCAAACAGAAGCAGAGACCCACTAGATATTAGATTGGCTTACTAAGTTAACAGTCTTTTAAGTGGCTGGGTTAATTGTCTACCCCAGTTGTCTACTGTGGTTAGGTAATATTTTTGGAGTTTAAAAATAAGTTAATTATCAAATAAAAAAATCAAACCATTTGGAATCTGCAACCCTTGAAATTAATCTTTGAAATTAAAATAGCTACCTGAAATATAATACAGTATTATCCCGAGGGCATGGTATGAATTATTAGGACAGCAGTTAGAGTCACTTATTAGGACACAGAGCTCCCATTACAATATGGTTTATTTATACGGTATGAATATTGATGGAAAGGATAGACATGATAATTAGTTTTTGCTCTGTTTAATAATACACAGAGAGATTTAGTTGCAACCATTTTATTGGAGCTTTTATTCACCTCCAAACAATGTATAATTTAAAACTTTTAAATATGCGTTCACATATACACTTATGCACACACATCTACATCATATACAAGTACGTGTAAATACAGAGGAGAGACTTTCTAGAAATGAACTGGAAAGATTTATACCAAACTCAAGATAATGGCTGCCTGTAGGAGAAGAAGGCAGAGAAAGGCCCAAAGGGTGGGTTTGGAATGGGAGTGTGCAGTTAGTCACAAAAGATCTTCTCAGGGCTTGGGGGCGTGGCTCAAGTGGTAGAGCACCAAACCCGGAAAAAAAAAAGAATCTTCTCTCTCTAATATTTGTTTGACTTTTCCAATAATTAAAGTAAAATAATCATGTAATCTTTTGAGGTATATAAATAAGATTGAAATTTTTAAAAAAAGATTTGCCCTCTTTGATATTGTATATTTTTGAGTATATTTTTCCTAAAAGACTTAAGAACAGAGATAGTCATTATCATGTTAATTATGATGTAAAAATGGCAAGATTAGAATATCATCTGTCAAGACAAAGAAACAAACTAGTGCTACATGGTAAAACATGGTTGAACTTTGAAAACATTATACTGAATGGAAAAAGCCTGTCAGAGAAGCCCGGCACTATGTTTATATAAAATGCTCACAACAGACAAATCCACAGAGAAATTTGGTTTGTATAGAAATTTGATGTGTATAGAACTGAGAAGGGGTAGGAAATTGGAAAAAAGTGGAAATGACTACTGATTAGGTATGTGGTTTCTTTTGGGTGTAATAAAATTTTTCTAAAAGTAATTGTGCTTATGGATGCAAAACTTTGTGAATATTGTCCAAACTATAAAACTGTACACTCAGTGTACACTTAGAGTTAATGATGTGAATTATAGCTCAATAGAGCTGTTTTTAAAAAACAGACTTTCAGAGGAAGAAAATTTACCTTAACATGCTATTTACGTAACTCTATTGAAGTTTTACATTACTTACACAAACATTTAACTTCTCAAATACTTGTTTGCATAATTGTTCTTTTTACTAACAGTATTTCATATGAACTTTTCTTATTCCAATTTAGTCTACATATTTATTCTATCTCATCCCATTATATCAATGAATGCTTAGCCATTTTTAAATTCTTAGATATTTGAGTTGTCACTAGCATTTTTTCTATTTATAAATAATGCAACCATGTCTAGGAAATCAAATGCTAAAAACCAAAGATAATATTCAAGTCTTAAAAGCAGCCAGAGTGTCACTCAGTATCTTGATAAAGCACTTGCCTAGAATATACAAGTCCCTGAGTTCAGTTCCCAGCAGCTCCCATCAAAAGCAGCTAAAGAAAAATAAACATAACATATATTTACAATAGCACTTAAAAAATGAAGCACTTAGGGATAAATCTAGCAGAATTTGTGAAAGATATGGATGCTAAAAAGTACAAAGGATTAATGAAAAAATCAAAAACTAAATAGATATACCATGTTCATGAATTGTAAGACTCAATATTTCTAAGATGTCAACTCTCTCCAATTTGGTCTATAAATTCCCTGTGCAATCCCAATCAAAATCCCCAAGAGCTGATTTTTAGCAGTCAATTGGCTAATTCTAAAATGTGTATGAAAAGAGAAAAGAACTAGATTAGCCAAAACAATTCTGAAAAAGAGCAAAGTGGAGGACTCATACTACTGGAACTCTAAGACTAAATATAAGTCACAATAATCAAGGCAATGTGGTATTGGAAAAAAGAAAGACAATTAGAAATTGAACAGAATGTCCATCCCTGAAATATATTCACATAAATTTAGTCAACTTTAAAAAACAGTTCAAAAGTAATTCAATGGAAAAATGCTAACATTTCAACCAATGTGCTAAAAAACTGGAAATCCATACACAAAAAAACCAACAAACAAACTTCTATACATACGTTATGGATGGAGCACAGACCAAAATGTGAAACCTAAAACAGTAAAGCTTTAAAAGAGAAACACAGAAGAAAACCTGTGTGATGTGAGGTTTGACAGTTATGACACCAAAAGCGGGATGAATAAAATAAAAAATGAAATGTTAGGTTTCATTAACGCTAAAAGAAATGAAAGAGCCTGGTGCCAGTGGCTAATGCCTGTAATCCTAGCTACTTGGGAGATCCTAGTTCAAGGTCAGCCCAGGAAAATAGATCTTCAGGCCCCCCCATCTCCAAAATAACCTGAGCAAAATGGACTGGAGTTGTGGCTCAAGTGGTAGAGGACCTGCTGTACAAGGGTTCAAACCCTAATCCCACCAGAAAAAAAAAAAAAAAGATTATAAAAATTTGCCAAAGATTAGAAAAAAATTGCAAATCACATACTTGATAAAATATCTGCAGCATTCGCGATATATAAAGAACTCTTGAAAGTCAGTCATTCTTAAAAACATTTTTTATTTCCAAAAAATATACTAACCAAAAACCAAGGATTGTTTTTGTTTTTTGTGGTGCTAGGAGCACTTCACACATGCTAGGCAAGCGCTCTACCACTGAGCAACATTCTCACTGTCCCCCAAAGATTTTGCAATGGCAAATAACCATATGAAAAGATGCTTACCATTGTTTGACAAAAGATAAATGCAAATCCAAACAACAGTGAAATAATACTACATATCTTTTAGGATCGCTAAAATTTAAAAGGGACAATACCAAATACTGACAAGAATGTAACAACAGTAACTCTCTTCAATTGCTGACGTCTTTTAAAGGGGTACAACCACTTTGGAAGACAACTT